GACTTTGTAGGCTTTTTCACGAGTTACTTCAACTTATAAACCAAAAGTTCAATCAAACATATGATCAGTTTACACCCCTTGATAGTGCTGATGTTGTGAAAATAAAGTTGATCTCTTAATTCAGGAAGGGTTAGTTCAGCCTCGAAAAGTATCATCAAATACCAGACATTTGAATTTTTTGCAAAAATACTACAAATTGTACAGCTAGGCGGTTTTTCAGTCAAGTTACACAGCCTACTCCCAGCCACAGGAAGACACTTTGCAGCATTTTTCCAAAATTTACTTTCTCCATTTTGTTTTACATTGAAAAGCTTTGTCCTTACAAGAAAAACAAAACAAAACAAAAAACAGAGAGTGTACAAACAAGATATTATTAAACACTGAGGTTAAAAGATCAAGAAGTTTATCTGGACTCCAGCAACTGTAACACAGTCATGTTGCACACCTTGTATTTTAGTAGAAAATGTTATGATTGCTTGCTACAAATCAAGTTACTCAGCTCTACTGAACCCATGGAAAATCCTAAATTGATAAGATGTGTTGCATGTAAAATGCTCTTTGGCTACACATCACCCACTTATTTCAGCATCTTCCGAAGGAAGCAGATATTTGCCCAGCCAGCATTTGCTGCAGTGTGAAGTGACTGTTAACACTCCGATACATTCAGAGTATACTAAGCCGCTGAAGGTGTGCAGCACTGCTATGCCAGCTCTCCTGGGCTGTAACTTCACCGCTTGGAAATTCCTTTCCTTTTAGCTGCTGATCTCTCAGAAGAGCACTGCATTTATGTTCCTCGCCTCTTCTTTTTATTTTCCTTAAAGAAAAACTGGGAGTGGATGGGGTCAGTGACCTAACGCACAAGTTTTCTAGGGCTTCAGGTGTGTGACTTGGAAACTTTACAGCCCAGCTAAGGTGCTTCAGCCTAATAATTGTTATCAGCCTCTACTCTGCTCCCGTGAGACCCCACCTGGAGTCCTGCGTCCAGTTCTGGAGCCCTCAGCACAGGAAAGACATGGACCTGTTGGAGCTGGTCCAGGGGAGGGCCACAAAAATGATCAGAGGGATCGAACACCTCTCCTATGAGGGAAGGCTGAGAGAGTTGGGGTTGTTCAGCCTGGAGAAGAGAAGGCTCCAGGGAAACCTTATTGTGGCCTTCCAGTACTTAAAGGGGCTTACAAGAAAGAGAGAGAGAGACTTTTTACCACATGACAGTAGTGGCAGGACAAGGGGCAATGGTTTTTAACTGAAAGAGAGTAGATTTAGATTGGATATAAGGGGGACGTTTTTTACTATGAGGGTGGCGAGCCCCTGGACCAGGTTGCCTGGCCCAGGTTGCCTGGCCCAGCTGTGGATGCCCCATCCAAGGCCGGGTCGGACAGGGCTTTGAGCAACCTGGCCCAGTGCAGGAGGCCCCTGCCCACAGCTGGGGGGTTGGACTAGATGCTGTTTGAAGACCCCCTCTCGACCCAAACCACTCTATAAGTCAAGACTGTGCGCATTTAATGACTAATTAAACGCGCGTGTTTAATTAATAATTACTTTGCATAAATAATCACATCATTAATTCAGATTCTGTGTACTTAATTACCTCTGTTCCTAACCACCTGCTTCCCAAGTTAACCATGTAACTACCGCCTTAACGGAATTCCCCCCTCCCACGCCGCGTTCAGC